GAGAAGGGAGTTTTGGCATTTCAGGGGCAAGGTTGACGCTGCCTGTACGGCCAGTCTTACCAGAAGCACGTCTTAGGGATAGTTCCCTCAAGCGCCGACTTGACTACTCCAGTTTGGGTCTATAAAATGTCCAAGGTGTTTTGTGGTGGTGGTTCTTACAAGGCAGATTAGTGCAGTGGTTTTGAGTTCACTCCAAGCCTTAGGGCTCTACCCTGAGACTGGATTATTACAGGATTCTCAAACCTGAGTTTGAATCTTGTCTCCACTATCACCCTGCCCCACAAACGAATTAACATCTCTCCTCTGAGCCTCAGTTTCCTCATCTTTAAAGGGGTTGTGATAACAGTACCTCTTTCTAGGTTGTGAGGATTACAGGAGATAATGCATGAAAGCCCTTGGCCCAGTTCTGGGCGCAGAGTCAGCTCTCAATAAAGAGAAGCGATTATGACTATTTAAAAATCATGTGTTTGCTCAAGTAGGGCCCTTCTCTTTGCTCAGTCTTCCTTATTTTTGCTGAAGGGGCTCCTGGCTAGGACCACAGAGGTTGACCAGTTGGTAATGCACGTCATTACGCATCGTTCCATTCCATTTCTGGGTTGTTCACCTGCAGTTCTAACGTGACAGCAAATGACTCAGGTTTTTGGTAATAAAGAAGGCAGGACACCTTATTAGGTATAATAAACAAGGAACGGTGAAGGTGTTTGTTGAGTACCCACAAGGCTGGATCCAGCATCTGGAAATAACTGGTCCTCACAAAGGACTTAAGTTACCACAAAAGTTTTCTACTGATTGTAGAACACTGATGATAACTTATATTCTTCTTTAGATTTCTAAATTTACTTGTCACTTGACTGAGTGAATGTCTCTGATTACTGAAGGGAGAATGTGTTACTTTTTTTTCCCTTAGTTATCATAGTATAAATGCAACAGAGGGAATTAAAGATAACGTGCATCTTTAAATTTGAAGGCACTCCTCATCCCCATTACCCTACTCTACTTTTTCTTTTTTCCACAGCCCTTATCTCTCCTAATATAATATATAATGTATTTATTTTTTATGTTGATTGTTTAATTTCTTACCCCCCGCTAGGACGTAAGTTCCATAAGGGACTATTTTGATCACTGATATGTATCCCTCTTAGAACACTTTAAATGTTCAGTGGATGAAGAAATGAATGAATAAAAGAATGGAGAGCTTCAATCAAAAGCTCCGCTCTCCATTACTCACACTTTCCATTCTTAACAATTCTGAGAAGCTGGTATCCAGAAACAGAGGAATGAGACCCGTGCAACCTAATTCCAGAGACTGAATGGAAAAGGTAAAAGAACCAGAAACACCTCCTTACAGTAAGATCCGGGGGGAGGCGAGTGACACCTTGCTGTAGGCTATTCCTCTTAGGCAGAGAGAAATCACAATCTAAAAGATTAGTTGATCACTAATCATTTAACATTTTAATATATTTTCTTGTTGTCCGGAAGTTTTAAACATATAGTTAAAATTATCAGATTTTTTTCTTTACGTATTTTGTGTGTGTGTCTGTTTTAGACTTTCCTACCACCAAGATTATAGACATATTCTTTTACAATTTTTCTAATACTCATAAAATTTAGGGTTTTTTTTTTTCTCTAAGTTTGGATCTAGTCTTTAATCTATCTGAAATTTATGCTTGTGAATAGAGAAATAGGGAGCTAACATCACTTTTTCACAAATCATTAGCTAAGTGGTCCCTGAATAATCAAGCCTTTCCTCGTGGATTTGAAATGTCATCTCTATCATATACTAAAATCTTATGCATTTGAAAGCTGGACAATGAATAAGGAAGACTGAAGAACTGATGTGTTTGAATTTTGGTGTTGGCAAAGAGTATTGAATATACCCATGGACTGCCAGAAGAACGAATAAATCTGTCTTGCAAGAAGTACAGCCAGAATGCTCCTTAGAAGCGAGGATGGTGAGACTTCATCTCACGTACTTTGGACATGTTATCAGGAGGGACCAGTCCCTGGAGAAGGACATCATGTTTGGTAAAGTAGGGGGTCAGCAAAAAAGAGGAAGACCCTCAACAAGACAGATTGACACAGTGGCTGCAACAATGGGCTCAAACACAGCAACAATTGTGAGGATGGGGCAGGACCAGGCAGTGTTTCATTCTATTGTACACGGGGTCGCTGTGATTCAGAACTGACTTAACAGCACCTAACAGCAACAAAATCCCAGATATACATGAGTCTGCTTTTGAATTCTTTGTTCCGTTGTTCTTTTTGGCTACTCTGGCACCAATACCAAACTATTTTAATTACTATAAGTTCATACAACATTTTGACTTTCTGGTGGTAATCTTGATTTTAATATTATAATTAACTATTAATTTATTATCAGTTTTAGCCAAAATCAGCCATATAGCCATTCATTTGACGAACATTTTTTGAGCATTTCCTATGAATCATACACTGGAAATAAAAATACTACTTGCTGGCCAGAGGTAATGGCTGAACTCAGTTGTTCACATACAAATAAGGTAGATTGGGGTCTAAACTCTGCCTTTTTAATTGAGAATTTCTGGGGGGAGTGGATAGAGGGATAGCAAAGTTTTTTTTTGTTTTCTCTTAGATATTAGTTCAGCCACTTTTGCTAACTTTTTCTGAAATAGTAAATCTAAATACAGATCAGAGGTAAGGGCTCTAATGAAAAGCCTAAAATTTTGGATAAAAGTTAGGGTATGAGAAAAGCAAAAATTATTCCTATTTCAATTTATCTCCTAGCTTTAGTCTGCCAATTAGGTGGCAAATGACATTTCACATAAAAATTAGGGCAAGGTCTTTCCTCTCCCTCTATTAAACTTACATTGAGACTTACACACCAAGTCATGCCCAGTGAAGCATCACAACATTCTAGGAAGATCCTGTGTGTATGTGCTCATGAGCACATTGAATTGCATATTCCTACTCCCTCAGATTAGCCTTTTGGCAAAGTTAACTCATTTCATCTCCAAAGGATATGGGGCAAACATGGTCCATTGTTGAGCAAAAAGGGATGAAGATCAGCTGCCAATTTCAATCAGGGAGACGGTTCAGGACTATTCCATTAACTAGGAGTGGCACCAGAAAGTCTACCACCTTTACCCAGGTCAAGGCATTTGAATGTAAATGCCTCCTAGGAGGAGGTCTTTAAAACTTTTTTGCTTCCTCCCCACTCCTCCCGCCAGAAAGGCGAAATCAGTGTATGCATAGTAGATGCCATGATAACATTCAGACACAACATATTTGAGTGCCAGAGCGGACCTCCATTCGACAGTATTTATTGAATACCTGCTGTATTTAGGGACTAGAGAGATGAACCAGACAGACAAAATTCCATTCGTCAGTCAAGAAGCTGCCCCCTCCCAACCAAGTGCCTTTATGTCATTGTCCAACACAGATAAATGAGCAGTCTTACAACTAAACTTTGGAGTTACAGAACACCTTTGTTTGCTACATAATTATTGACACCCAAGAAAATCTCAACCCACTCTAGAGCTGGTTATAATTTTCGTAATTTCTGCTCTACAAATCTCCTTCTCTCTTTAATCATCAAGTCCAAATGCGACTGGCCAGAATTCATGGCCTCACTCGCCAGCTTAATGCTGCTTCATGACCCCTTCTTTACTGCAGTCAAAAGGCTCTTTACAGTTTAGTCAAACCAGACATTATTGGATGGTCTCTATGCTTAAGAACCCACCTTAGTAACCCACTCTTCTCTTACTCTCCAAACAGTCTCTCCAAAGAGCACAGGCTACTGTCTTACAGAGTGAGACACACAGCTTAACCCTGGCTACTTCCTCTATTTCAGCATTTCCAGACTGGTTGGTTACACTGGGGTCTGCCATATGGGAGTGTTTTCCAGATGTCATGTGGGATAGATCCCACAGTAGGTACGGGTTGCTTGAGGTTGGGTTCAGGATCACAAAACACATATGGAATGAACCAGGACTTATGGGTCTGAGATCACTGAAAGAAAAGACCAAGGAAATGCCTGGGCACTGGGACACATATGATACATGCCAACTCCCTGACATCGCTGAGGAGGATTAAAGCTGCAGAAAGATGAAAAATGGGCACTCAGGCATAAAATCCTACTCATTAACTCTCATAACTACCCCAGAACCCCATACCAGAATTTTAGAACAAAAATATTCAGAGGTGAAATGGAGAAGCAAAAATTATTGTCAAACTTCAGTTCTCAACCTGGCCCACAGCTCTAACTGCTGCAGATTACTGGTAATGAAACTGTGATCCAGCACAAGTCCACACAGAGTACTGCTCCAAAAGCACAGAGTAAATGTTGCTGACAAAACTCCTGAGTGGCCTTTTGAGCAGAGCTTGAGAGATGAATAATTCCTTCAACTGAGCATGATGCACATATAGGGTTAGAGGTGGAGGGTATGCTTAATCTGGTAATCACTTATAGAAAATCTGGGTAATTTCTCTGGGAAGAACAAACCCAATTACTCACAATGTGCTGTACTGGGCGGTGCTTAAGAGAATAACCACCCTGCATATTCACATTCTTGACAATCTCCCCCACCACCACCTTTGTTCCCTTCTAAAACTGTGGAGTACTAATGGTTGATGGACGATCTAAGAGGTAGCACGAAGGAAGGAGTTCCCTGAGCTTTGGAGTCAGAGCTAGCTTAGAATTCTGGTAGTAACTCCTGCATAGCCAAGACCATTCATTTCATCATAGTGTTCTGCTTTGATCTGCTCCTGAAAGCTAGAGGTAGGCTCTGGTGAGCTCAGGAACAGATAATACAGAGCAGCCTATTCCCTCTAATCATATTCCTGCCAGTTTTCTAGTACCTGACCCACCTCTAGTCTCAACAGCTGCCCAGATCTGGTAAGCCTTTTGCTTCCCAGGACTCGATCATGGCCATGACCAAGGACTTTCCCAGAAGGGGCTTTGTGGAGTCTCAGGGAAGCTGAAGTCAGACTAAAATCCTTTATTCGGCTTATCTTCTCCTGGAAGCCTTCACCTAAGAGAGGCAACATTACCCTCTCCTTACACTTGGGTTTGTGTTTGCTATTCACTTTTTGTATTAATCACCTTTCACATTCATTTATATGTGGTGGTGTTGTGTGGCATCGAGTCAATTCCTACTCATAGACACCCTACAGGACAGAGGAGAACTGTCCCACAGGGTCTCCTAGGCTGTAAATTTTTATGGGAGCAGACCACCAGGTCTTGTCTCAAGCATAGCACTTAGTGGGTTCGAATTGCTGACCTTTCAGTTAGCAGCTGAGCGCTTAAGCATTGTGCCACCAGGGCTCCTTCAGTTATATGTAAACAGTTGTTAATAAGAATATTTAGAGAAAATGGATTTTGTGCCGTACTAAGTCCATCAAGATGTTAACATTGATAGTTAATAATCATTTAAGTACCTGTAAAATCTCAAGATACCATTCCCTAAGGTTGCAAAGATTGCAGACTAATAAATACTAAGGTGGTTCACTGAGTACCAACGCCACTACCTTTTGAAACACAAGACTTTCACAAGGTATATACAATTTAGATCACAAATTAAGGCTCCAAATTTTTAAGGATGAACATCTAAGATATTTCATTGATCCCCCAAGGCCTACCAATAGATAGTCCATTTAAAGGGGATAACTGAGGACAGCTTAATGAAGATACCAATTAAAAGGGGTGGGCAGGGTAAAGGGAAACCAAGTAGAGATGATGAAATACTTCAACAATATCCAATAGATTTTTCTGCAATGATGAACATGTTCTACATCTATATTGTCTAATGCAGTAGCCACATGTGAGCACTTGAAATGTGCTTAGTGTGACTAAGCCACTGAATTCTTGAATCTTAATAGCTGCATGTAGCTAATGACTATGGTATTGAACAGTGCAGCTCAAGTCTAACAAAGAGCTATTACTACCCCTGGCCTAAAGAGATAAAGAGAGAAAAGAATTACCAGAGCCCAGAGAGATGCAGAATTAGAGCCACTGCTATAGCGTATAAGAAAAGGCTACATGACAGGACCTATGGACTTTGACAGATCGCAGCCACTGCCAACCTGCAGACTGGCAAGGGAAGAGCTGGGAATAATACCCTGACTCCCTCTTCCTGTCCTCCCATCTCCCCTGGTGTCTCCAACTGGTGGAATTCAACCAGAAACTAAGAGAAGACAGCTCACTGGTGCAGTCCACAAAGGTCAGCATTCTGCACAGAATGATGGAGAAAGACAGAGAGCAGATCTGGAGCAAAATATCATACCATGCACAAAATGAGTTGAAGCATTAAATGTTTGGATTATAGGCAGTTATAAATCTAAATAAATGTGGAACCAGTGGCAAGAAATGGATCAAAAGCATGCTTTTCAATAAAGCGCTACAAATGTTTGTTGTTAAAGCTACCCTGGAGCTCTCTGTTGCACTATACAGCATATGCTTCAATTAAACTGCAACTGCACTCGTTTCAGGTTACAGACATAGTTAGGTCAATGCCATGTCCCTTCTACTGTACTTAACCTTTCATCTATCAACCATATTACATCCTTCAAGAATCTGTGTGAAACTTTTTCCAAGGTACCATTGAAAATCACAAAGCCTGGGATAGGAAAAATTTTATTTGATTCAGGATAAAGGCCATTTTAACTCAATAAACAGCTAAACTTTACTTGGAAAACAGGAGGAAGATCAATGAATCCAAAGCCTACCACTCTAGGACAGTATGACAAATTCCTACTCTAGGACTATATGGCCACTGTCTTCAGATTGGACCTTGTTTTTTTTTCCTTTCACCATCTGATTGTTGGTATGTGTTTTAACAATAAACTCCATCACTTTATGCACTGGGTGGCAATGCTAAGGGGAAAAAAAGGCAATATCTACAGGCAGGGTCAAATGCTATTTGTGGAAACATTTACTGTCTACTTTAGTGGGTTCTGAATATATCAAGCGTCCAGTGCTTACTGCTCAGCACTTAGGGAAGAAAGGTCTAATGTCAGTGTACAGGGGTTGAAGTAGGTGCCAAAGGAAAAGCAGTTCCCACCACCTCCAAGGATCAGGAGCTGCTGCTCTTCAGGAAGGAGGATGCTGGTATGGTTGTGTAGCATTAATGGCCATGGCACACATGTTACGTCAATCTGATACTCAGAGCTCAGTCCTGTAGTCAAATCAATAACAGTCACTCCAGGAACTGAGGAAGAATGAATCCAGACTCCTCCAACCAGTAGAAGCTTCCCATTGAGTACATGAGCTGTGTGGGAGTACCTTGGGGTAACAGGAGGCTTGATGTCCATTGATTCCCAAAGGAATCCACAAGAGATTGGTTTCAGAAAGAGAACAGAGCTCAACGGCTCCTCAGAAGCCCCCAGACCTCCAGCAAGAAGAGCTCCCCCTTGCCAACTGCAGGCACTGTGGGAATGCCGAGCTTCAGGTACCTCACCTTCCACTGGGATCCCGACCCAAGCCATTGTCCCCACATGTAGGAAATGCCAATCACTTAGTACAGGTTCCATCACACTTCGACCTCCATACACAAACAAGTATTTCTGATTCTGATAGGACACTTCTGTTGTTGAATGCCGCCAACGTGACAAAGTGGAATCTTCTTCTGGGCCGGCCTTGGTTACTGTCACCTTCAGGTCCTCAGTGCCATTATCCTCTCTCTTACAAACACAAAGCTGGAGAATTCCCAAGGCTGGAGTCACTGGGGACAGTCTCCCGCCCAGAACCAGAACCTGAGTGTCTGAAAGTCTTGTCATGGTGTGATACAGACGTCCATCCCACTTGGCTCCAGGGCCCCAACTGCATATCTGGCTGCCTTTCCACCCAAAGTCACAATACCTTAAAAGCAAGTGAAACTTGCTCACCCGGCAGTGCTGCCCCCCCTGCTCTCCAAAGCCTCCTGCACTGAGAATAACGCCGGGGCTCAACAGGGCAGACGCATGGCCGTATCTCTTAAGGTTAGGGCCCTGGCTGTCACTCATGACTACCCTGGCAGGGAAGACCCCTGAAGGCGAAGCAAGATCTACCCAAAGAAACGCCTCTGTGGGTGGAAACACCAGGGTTTGGGAGAGGGCGTCTCCCTTAGAAGCTGCCAGAATGAAATAGTGGGCACACTTCAGATGCCACTCCTCAAATTCATCAAAGGGTTCAAGATTTTCTATCCGCTGGCGTTCTTCTGCAGGGAGAAAGCGGCGATAGAATTCATTCATGTCCATGGCACTGCAAGCTGTCCAGCCAGCTTGAAGGAAGCGGCGCCGTTGAGCCTCCACGTCGGGAAAGCTGTCCAGGCCGTGCAGGGGAGAATTCAGCTGCCGAAAATGTTGCTGCATGAACTGGCCAAAGGCGTCACATGGCTTCATCTGCTCATAGATCACGAAAAGGGCATTAGAAAAACGCCGGGCTGCCCAGGCGATGAGGGCTGCGGCGCTCTCGGGCTCCAGGTAGGTTAGCACGGCCTCTGCTAGGAGGAGAGTGGGTGCAGCCGCGTCAAGGCCCGCGGCGGCCAGGGCCTCGTCCAATCGCTGGAGCTGCCGCAGGTCCAAGCCCAAGATGCGGTAGTCCAAACACTCAAACAACAGCGCTGACGCGGGGTCCCCCTTCTGCAAAGGCCCAGTTAACGCGCACAATTCTGGCGTATCTCGAATCCTCTCTGCTTTGCGCCGCGCTACATCCGGGAAATCCACCTCCCAAACCGCTGCCCGGGTCAAGCGACCCGCGGTTTTGAGGCGAAAATACAGCGAGTCCGACCCCGCGCCTAGAGACACAATCTGAGCCAGCGGCGCACCGGGGAGCGCGCACGTCTGCTCCAAGAAGGCGCGCACGCAGTGCCGCACGGCGCGTGCGCGGACGTAGTAACCGCGGTGGATGAGCGGCGCTCGGCGGGTGGTCCCCGGGACCAGCAACGCGGCGAAAGCGTCCCGCACGTACCCGCGCGCGGCCAAGGAACTCTTGCTGAGGGCGCTGCTGTCGTTGGTGTTCTGTACTGCCCCCACTCGACGCTCGCGGTTCCGCGGGCCCATGGCCAGGAGAGACTCAGGAGCGGCTCTCCGTGCCGGTTGCGAGCTGCTATTTCATCCGTACAGTCACACCTCGCGGACCTCTGTACGGAATAACCACCCCTCTTCCGCGACTTCCCCTTCCGCGGACAAAGCGTGCGTCACTTCCGGGAAGAGCGCGCCTCGCCCATGGGTTTAGTTTGTACTGAGATTCGACAGTGACGGAATTTTCTTTGGTTCTCGGGAACTAAGTTTCCCCGGGAGGATAACCTGCTACCGCTTACTGTGGACACGTGGACCGTGTTAGGGGAGCGCAGGTTGTCGCTTTTCTACAAGCCTTTCAGCCTGAAAGGAAAACTTACCTAGGTCCGCACAGTTGAGTAAACTGGTGGGAAATCTTTTTAAGAGGTGAGTCTGGGTGCTGACGACCTGAGCTCCTTGGAAAACTGTGTCCGTGTTGAGCGTCCGGTAAGGCAAAGCCGGGTTAGCCCCACGGACGCTATTAGGAAGGAGAAAACCAAATCCGTTACCGTCCAGTCAGTTGCAAGGAGCAGCTGGTGAATTCGAACTGCCGACCTTTTGGTTAGCAGCCAACCGCTTAACCGCTGTGCCACCAGGACTCCTTAGGAGAAGGAAGGGTTATTCCTCAGATGCTTATCCAAAGCCAAACCCACTGCTGTCGAGTCGATTTTACTAATTTATTTAACGCTCTCATCATTACAGAAGAGATCCCATTTAAATTTGAAAACAAATCTGTGAGGCCAAGTGCAAAGTGAAGAAACCGACCTTTAGAGAAGTTGTGACTTAACCAATAAATGCTCCCCCGTAGAAAAATACTATTGATGCCCTTGTATTCCCCGCCCTGTGCTAGGCTGATAAGGAATAAGCCACTCCGCTCTGTTTCTCATCTATAAAATGGCACTCCCCTCCACTTGGAAGATTCTGTGGTTCTCAAGTAGTGTGGAATATGCCCGTGGAAAGGGGAGTCATGGAAGAGCGGTGATTATTCCGGGTGGTGTGGTCTGAGCCAGTAGCTATAATCGGTGTGTGTGTGTTTAGGAAGCAGTCCAAGTCGGGGTTAAACATCAGGTTTCTAACTTGGGTGCCTGGGAGTCCACACCAGTAGGAAACTGATTCTAGAGATATTTAGGAGATTTATTTATTGAGTTTTGGTGACTGATTGGCTGTGGGGGCCGAGATACAGAAGGAAATCAGGATAACTGGAGATGGTTAACTAGAAGCTGTGTAGCGTAATGATTGAGAGCGTGAGTCTTGGAGTCCACCTGATTAGGATTTGGATAATGAATGGAGCTCCAGGTAAAGGTTGGGTGAGGATGAAAGTTTACATTGAAGAGAATCATTTAGATTTGGCATTTAAGAGTTCATTAATGAGCTTATGGAGAGCAGCTTCTGTGGAGCAGTGAGAGCAGAATGCATGTTTCAGTGAATGGGAGATGAGTTAATGGAGACATCCAGTGTGAAGCTTTCAGGGAGCTTAGCTTGGAAGGAAAAGAGAGAGCAGTAGCTAAAGAGGAATATGGAATAAAGGAAGGGTTTCGTGTTTTGTTTCCAGGTAAAATCAAATTCTGCACGTGCATGTGGGGAAATCAGTGGAGAGGGAGAGGTTCAAGGGACAGAAAAATGAGAAGATACTTGGTGAAGGAATGGGATCCTAGGCACAAATCAGTCTTTGGATTAGAAGAATGAAGCCGTTTCCTCTGACTCATGAGGAAAGAAAGAGTATGGATGAAGCTAAGTTTATACGTTTGGGGAGAGCAGAGAGAAGTAGGGGACATTCATGTCTGATGGCTTCCGTTTCCTCTATAAAGTACGCAGCTGGGTGGTTAGTTCAGTGTAAGAGGCTGGGTCTGGTGGAGGCCTTGAGGAGTTTGGCATGGCCTCTGAAAGAAATGGGAGAGGGGCTCACCTAAGCCTTCTGGGCCTTGGGATCCTCCCCTCTAAAATGAGAGGACTAATTGCTGCTTTGTGAGGTATCCCAGGGTTGTTTGAGGACCAAAGAGGGAGGGGGAAAAAAAAAGACTTAAAAGAAATATATAGCGCTATAATAGTTTTTTTAATGACAAGCCAGTAAAATGTAGATAACGTGTTAGAAATACCACCTTTTTTTTTTTAAAGAGCAGATGAAGAAAAGTGAATCAAGAAGAAAGATCGTGACAGAATTTGTGATCTGGGTGCCCTTCGACTGTTCTCTGTTTAAACTTTAGTTTATTCTTAAAGGAGCCCTGGTGGTGCAGTGGTTAAGCACTCAGCTGCTAACCGAAAGGTTGGTGTCTCTGAAAGAGAAAGACCTGGCAATCTGCTCCTGTAAATATTACATCCCAGAAAACCCTATGGGGCAGTTCTACTCTGTCCCATGGGGTCGCTATGAGTCGAAAATCCTACTTGAGGGCACTTAACAACAACTTTATTCTTATGTAAAATGGGGGTAATAACATCTCATGGGCGGTTTTGAGGATTAAGTAAAATAACCATCTAAGGCACTCAGCATAGTGCTAGCTCATAGTAAGTGTTCAATAAATAGTAACAAATATTTTTATTATTCTGTGTTCTTTTTTTTTTTTTGCATTAAAAGGTGCCTGGGATACAGGAGTGTAGGTTCTGGCCCTGTTCTAATTTGATGAAAGGTAGAAAGATCTTATCCCAGTGTTTGTTGCCTTGTGGCCCCCTCCTTCCACCCCAGCTGCTGCTTCTGGTCCAGGCCAGACCCAAGCCACAAAGGCTGCATTTGGCAGGGCATGGTATTGTTAGTAGCAGCATTTTAGGCAAGGATCAGTGAAACTGCAAGGGTTTTTTTTGTTTTAACTGTGTAAAAATGTATCAATATCGTGCTTGTGGTGGTGGCCTTCAAATTTCCATAGATTAACATTGTAGCCAAATGGGTCAGTAAATTTACCCGCGCCTAGTTAACAGAGGTCAATCTGGAGGGTGGTTTGAGTGTGACACAAAATGAATTCAGGCTAACCAAAAGGTCAGCAGTTCACATCCACCAGCTGCTCCTTGGAAACTGGGGGGCAGTGCTACTCCGGGTCGCTATGAGTCGGAATCAACTCTAAGGCAGTGGGTTTGGGTTTTTTTGTTTGTTTTTGTTTCGGAGTAGGATTGAAAATATTTATGAAAACCTGGTCACCTGTTAGTTTTGGTTACGGACTCGCTATGTAAAATGGCCTAAGTGCCTTTTTAGGTTTTCATTCTTTTGTCTAAACATAAAAGTTCTTCATAATAATAAAGCTATTTTGCAAGTATTGTTTTTTTCATTACTGTAAAGATAATCAAGTAGAAATGCTTGTTTTAAAACCTTCAAATTGCGCAGAAGTATAGAAGGTAGAAAATAAAAGTAAAATACTCTCCCTGACCTTTCCTACTTCTCACTCCATCTGGTGGTAACCTTTTCTGTATATCCTTTCATATGTGTTTTGGGGATGTTGTTGTTGGGTGCTGTCAAGTGCAGTCTGACTCAGTGACCCCATGTGACAGAGTAGAACTGCCCCATAGGATTTTCTTGGCTGTAAATCTTTATGGAAGCAAATCACCAGGTCTTTCTCCCGCGGAGCTGCTGGGTGGGTTCAAAGCACCAACCTTTTGGTTAGCAGGCAAGCACTTAACCATTGTGCCACCACGGCTCCTTGTTTTAGGTATAAAGATGTAAATCAATAAATAGAGTGTGTGTGTGTTTAAATGTTCATAAATGTCATCTTTCTGAACAATATGTACTGCAACTTACTTTTTGGAAGTAATGCTGTATCATAGACATCTTTCCGTATAGTTACAGTAAGATATTCAGTGAGATAGATACATAATTAATGAACAGCACTCTAAAGCCATTGCCATCAAGTCAATTCCAAATCATAGTGACCCTATAGGACAGAGTGGAACTGCCCCATAGGTTGCCCAGGCTTTAATCTTTACATAAGCTGACAACAGCACTCTGCTGATAAACGTTTAGATCATTTCCTGATTTATTGCAAGAATTAAAGATAATATATTAAAAATGCTTGCCACATACCTGGTGGGCCTTGAGTCTGTGGAAACTGCTGTTCTAACCCGCGTCATCATCAGTGTTTAAGAACCCAAAGTGTCAGGTTGGCTACTGGAAAATCACTACATTTCATTTGGAATTTTGTCATAATTTGTAGATTACCTTAAGTCATTTCAGAGGTGAAGGGAAATTAGGATTTATTTATCATCTACAATGTGCTAGGCGCTGTGCTAGGTGCCAGGGAGGTAAAATAATCCACAGTCCCTGTCCTCAAGAAGTATATAGTCTGGAGAGGGAGAAAGACAAGTAAATCAGTGATTGAGATACAAATGTGACAGCCCTGACTTAGAGGTGGTCACTGGATCATATGGAGGTATAGAAGAGGGGCATTTAAATGTTTTTTCTGTCCTCTCAGCTACGCTGCATTTTTATTAAATAAGGACACTGAAGCTGTGAGGTTAAGTGACGAAGGCCACACATACTTTAAATAATTCAAAAATATAAATGTTACTTTTTTATCCAAAATAGGCTTGATAAAATTTCTAGTTTTTAAAGTGGGAAATTCACAGTTTTACAGAAAGTGCCAATAGGTCCTGAACTGAGGTTCTAATCCATCTCTTACCAGCTTGAGGCCTTCTCCTATTTCTAGTTCACATTGTTTACTAATCATTTCCCTGCCTCTGGCACACTTAAGTTAGCTTTGGGAAGCTTTATCTTTTAAAGAATAAATCAACAAAATTCTGTTTCTTTGCTCTTATGTTAACGTCTGAAAATATTCACATTAGTTAAAATAGGTGAAGCTGAGCCAAGAGCTGCATCTACAGCTAACCTTAATGTGTGAAAATGTGTGAAATTAAAGCAATTGAAAGGAAGTTCAGAACCACAAACCTTACTGACTGAAATACATTGTATTGTTCATAGAAAGAATAAGAGCATTTGGAGAAGGACCTCTGTTTTCCTGTAAAATCGTGATGGAGCTAGAAGAACAGCAACAAGCATCTAAGAAGAACTTTTACTGGGAATTACCAAAAGTGGTGAGAATTCAACCACAGAATTCCTGAGTGGTTGCTAATTATAATGACTTCTGTGTTGTTGTTGTTTTTTTTTTAACACAAGAAAAGTCAGTTATAGAATTTGTACTTTGTAGACTTAGAGTTTAAATTTAGAGTAAAAACTTTAAAAGCTGTATAGCTAAATCTAATAGGCAACTCACCTACAAACTACAAACATCATACGTGATACGATACTATGGATCAAGTAGATAGTTGATAAGTTATTTACTGATTTTATTTACTGATTGTATTCTTAGGAACTTCATGCCCACTTGAATGGATCCATTAGTTCTAAAACCATGAGGAAATTAATAGCCAAGAAGCCAGATCTTAAAATTCATGATGGAATGACTGTGATTGACAAGGGAAAGAAGAGAACTTTAGAAGAGTGAGTTTGAGGAGGTTATGAACATACCTTTTTTCTATCAGTATTTTGAGATTGTAAGTAGTATATGAAAATTCAGATTTTAGTAGTTAAAGGAATAGGTAGCTGTCCGGTAAAGAGTATAATTTGACATATAGCATTTTTTCCAGTTGTCAGAATGTTGGTAATATTTTCAGTGATTTATGTTGCTTGTGAAGTTATACTATATTGGAATAATCTTCAGTCTTGAAAATACAGACTTCTGAATTTTCCCCCATTGTTTGCTGTAACTGGCATGGGGTGGGGAAGGGGAACTATTACTTCCCACTTGAAAATACCCCGAATATTTTATTTTTAGTCATTTGATTATCTTTCCAGATCAATGTAATTTTTGAAAAACCTATTTTGTAGTTCGTTATAAATACATAGTTACTATTAATCTAAAGGTGCCCTGGTAGCGCAGTGGTTAAGAGCTCGGCTGCGAACCAAAAAAAAGTTGGCAGTTCGAATCCACCAGCCACTCCTTGGAAACCCTATGGGGCAGTTCTACTCTGTCCTATAGGGTCGCTATGAGTTGGAATTGACTCGACGGCAACGGGTTTTGGGTTATTAATCTAAAAGCTATGAATTAATTCAGCTTAGTGAGTTTCTCTTAAGTGATGTATTTTTGATGACTAGTGTTTAAAGTTTTCATCCATGTTGCAGATGTTTCCAGATGTTTCAACTTATTCATCAGCTTACTACCAGCCCTGAAGATATTCTTATGGTGAGACCTGGAGGAACTTTGGAATGGTTTAAAATTAATTTATGCTTGTCTGTTGTTGCACATGATCTTTTGCTTTTATTAAGAGTCTGATGAAAAACGTTTTCTGCTTTTTTATGGCAACCTTCTCAAAACCAGTGTAAGATATTTGCCTATGAACCATGTAAAAACTGTATTCATTATGAAAGACATGAGAAAAGAACCAAGACCAGTATCTATTAAATAGAAGACAATTTGGAGGAGAAAATTTAGTCCTGTTTTTCATGTACAACATATTGTATTAAATATTTGACCACAGGTGGGCATGTCCTTGATAAGGCTTTCTCTGTACTGCATAGATGACTTTTAACTGCCTAGATAGACATTGTAGAGAATGAGTAAGTTCAAGAAGTGCTTAGAGACTGAGTGATTAATCTCTAACAAATTGATGCAGGGAAACTGTGCCTTCCCTCTGGGGACAAAGGACTGGAGGGTATACCACTGTGTTCTCTTCTCCTAAGCTCCATGGTACTAGAATCTGACATGGAAGACTGGCCTCTGTATCACTGATCTGACCAAAATGTCATTTTGTAAATGGAAAGAAACAAAATCTTATCAGTGTTCTTAGCCATTAGGAAAAAAGTGCAACATAAGAAGTATAACCCGAGTTTCTGGAGAATTTTTAACTGGTCAAGAAAGAATTTTCCTCCTGGCTGAGATTGATCCTCATGATAAGTCATGAGTAAATGAATCACCTTCTGGAGAAGAGTTAACTTTAGTTCAACGAAAGTTGACCAAGTGCCCACAATGTTCCAGGCACTATGCTAAAGACTAAGAGATATAAAGATAGACCGGCACAGTTCCTGCCCCTGAGGAATTTATAGTCAGGTTGGAGAGACAGGCCTGTAAGCAGATAAACCCAACAGAGCATAGTAAGCTCTGTGGTAGAGATGTGCACAGGGAGTTACAGGAACCCGAGGGGGCCTTCTTTAATCAGGACAGATACTGTTGAATACTGCTAGGAATGTTCACCACAGCAACTCTGCTCTCATTTTTTGTTATTTCCAAAACTGATGAAATCTCATGTCCTTAATACTCCATGGGAATAATAATGCCATGCTCATTATTTAATTCCTTTCAAAGTTGCTGAAAAGCTTTATTAAAATGAGTGGTGGAATTAAGATTCTCTATTTAGTGCTACTAGGGTGAGCACCTGTGGGTGGTTCAGTGTGTGACAGTGAGAGCTAAATTAGTAAAGTCCACATGTGAGCCATCTGTGGAAGTAAACCACGAGACTATTTGCTTGTAAATGTGGGACTGAGTGTGTGGGGGTCACGCAGAACTCCAGTCCAGATGACTTGGGTGTAACCTCAAAGAGACAGGATTGGAATGTGACTGAAACAGTAAGTTTCTCAACCTGCATAGCTGAGGCCAGACCTTGGATTGTACCAGATTCACCAAGGTAGTGCCGTCTCGTTGGACACTGTCTGCACAGTCTGCCAGCCCTTGTTTCTTTGCCGGGACCCTGCCCTTGCCCTTGAGATTAAGGTTAGAATACCAACTGTAAGGACTAGTTAGAGCAGGTTGTTACAGCATCCTCAACCTGGTACTTTTCTAGATTTGGTCTGTTTTGGGATTGAAGACAGAGAAGAAAACATTCCTTCAGCCTTTAGACCTTGTTTACCCTGGTCATTCAGTAATTTTCAGGGTTGTCAAAATTTCTACTAAATTGGACACAATTTTACACATATTTATTACCTTTCTGTGTCTAAGAAGAATTTTCCTAAGTATTTTTGGGGAAAATTTAACCCTGCCTGAAGAATTGATGGACAAATACAACTTAATTCCTAAATAACTTGAATAAGAGCCTTCAGCCATGACATGGAATGGTAATGCCTTACATTGGCTGTCTATTTTTGTGTGCACCTTTTTTAGCACTGCGCACACAAAGATGGTTTTAACTCATTTGAGTTTTACCTCATTTCTCTGCTTTGCAAATTTGCTGTTATGAACAGTAGGAAATAGAGAAATGATTAAAAGGAGGAAACAGAAACAAAAGTGTGGATGATGTGCAGATTTGGATTTCATGTGGGGATGAGGGGGTGATGGGAGCTACTGGAAATGCTGCAGCTCAGCCACTGTCTCCACCAGAGATGTGAGCAAGCTGGACATCTCCGCCACATGGGAGACTTCCAGCAGTACTTGCAGATCATATTTAATGAATGCAGTAAAGCTGTGACACTTGGCACTTTAACTCGGAGCCTTACATTATCATCAATATTGTGTACATTGCCTTTATTATCAGGTTACAAAAGATGTTATTAAAGAATTTGCAGATGATGGTGTCAAGTACCTGGAACTGAGGAGCACACCCAGAAGAGAAGATGCTACAGGTAGAATTTAATTACTTCTCAGCAAATGCATTATC